GGCTCCCTGTAAAATTTAGAATATAATTTAAAATTCTCCTCTTCACCTATAAAGCTCTTCATGGTCAGGCCCCTTCATATCTTAAAGAGCTCATAGTACCCTATTAGCCCTCTAGAACACTACGTTCTCTGAATGCTGGGCTACTTGTCGTTCCTATAGTCTCTAAAAGTGGAACAGGAGCCAGAGCCTTCAGTTACCAAGCTCCTCTCCTGTGGAATCAGCTTCCAGTTGTGGTTCGGGAGGCAGACACCCTCACCACATTCAAGAGTAGGCTTAAGATATTCCTCTTTGATAAAGCTTATAGTTAGGGCTGGATCAGGTGAGTCCTGAACCATCCTTTAGCTATGGATTAAAGGCCTAGACTATCGGGGGATTTCCGATGGTGCACTGAACTCCTCTCTTCCTCTCTCTTTCTGCACTCATTCATGTCCCATTAATGCATGTTACTAACTTCACTTCTTCCCCAGAGTTCTTGTGCTTTCCCTTCTCGCAGGTTCTTATTGATCCTGGTGGAGCCTCCTGCCATGGTCCTGCTAGATTGCCATTGCCAATACTGTTGTTGCTGTGCACCTGTCTGTCTGTCTCTCTCACTCTGTCTCTGTCTGTCTGTGTCTCTCTCTCTCTGTCTCTCTCTCTCTCTCACCCTAACTGGTCGAGGCAGACGACCACCCACCTAGAGCTGAAGGATCTGTCCTAGGTTTCTGCCTTTTAACAGGCAGTTTTGCCTTGCCCTTGTCGCCTAGTGCTTGCTCAAGGTGGTACTGTTGGGTCTCTGTAAATAATGTTATAAAGAGTTCGGTCTAGACCTGCTCTATTTGAAAAGTGTCTTGTGATAACTTCTGTTATGAATTTGCGCTATACAAATAAAATTGAATTGAATTGAATTGAATCTACATGTCAATATTTAGTCATTCTCATAGCACCCTCTACTGGCAACAGGAAATAACATATTTTGTACTTTCACATGCTACTCCAAGCAGATTGACCAGATCCAGCTGAAATCTGGTCAGAAGACCCATAGACCCGTTGATGATATGTTTTGAATCTGTGAGTTTGCATTGAGTGTCATTTTTGGGTGGCTTATTATGCTTGGAAACTCATGCAACTGTGACACAAGTGATAATTTTACATTTCATTGGTCTTCAAAGGTTGTATACACTTTTGGACCAACCTAGATCATACCATCAAAAACTACGACTGTCTGTGTTTGTTTTTTTGTTTCAGGTTGACTATAGCCTTAAGAGACAGCTTTGTCTGAGAGAAATTAACAGAGTGGCAGTTTCCACACCTAATAGACAGTTTTAAAGGTAAGATGATCATTTTCATTTTTCACTTTAAGGTTAAGTGTGTAACATTTAGGAGGATCTATTGTCAGAACTGTAATATAATATTCACAGGTATGTTTTCATTAGTGTTTAATCACCTGAAAATAAGAATCACTGTGTTTTCGTTATCTTAGAATGAGTGGTTTTTATCTACAGAGAGAGTGGGTCCTCTTCTACGGACCACCATGTTTCTACAGTAGCCCACAACAGACAAACCAAACACTGCATAAATAGGGCCTTTTGTATTTTTTCTAGTTTTAAGGCTACCATAGTTTCTTTGACATGCTGAGCTGTGTTTAGCTAGTTGCAATCTGAAACTTTTCCACTACATGCCATTTAATCTAATATACAGGTCTTTTAAGTAGCCTACCTTTTTTGTAATGTTTCCTGCGTTCAGACCATCTCGAGTCTAAATAGCTACTTAAACATTGCCAGAATTTGGGAGTGACAACCACATTTATTATTGAGAGTGAATTTGCATATACAGTCTACCTACTGGTTAAACTGATTACCTTACATTCAGATCCAAAATTAAAACGTGTCATTAATCACACCTGTTCATATCTAACAATATATTTCAGGCATTTATAGAAAAGATTTGGTTTTTTTTTATTGAGTATATATGTATTGTGTTGTCCCTTGTTTGTGAGGCTACATCCTGCTGACTACAGATAAAAACTATCTCTTTAGTTAAGACATTCATTCATTTGTAGCAACTTGTTAAACTGCCACAGACAATGGTGTTGTATTTTGTGTAAGCAGAGAGAGGGTGATGCGGTTCAGGATGTCTTTAATGGGGAGTTTTGTAAAACACATCCACTATTCTTGAAAGAGGTTTGTATCCCACTTCTATACAATGATGACACTGTTAAACCCTTTTGGATCGAAGCCTCAATTCACAAGTTATGATTTATATACTGTATTTCAAGAGCTTGCCATAAAATCTGCTATCAAGTTTACATTCACACTTCCTGTTAGCAGTGTGCAAATCAGATGATGGGAAGACCTATGGCCTTAATGTAGTGCTGCGAAGGCATTACTGTTGATGCCCCCAACTTTCAAGGTGTTGTGAAGTTCATAGTTGTCCAGATAGTGGGAGGTAATTTGGGCTTGAATGCCATTCTTGGCTACACTGAGAGCTTCAGAAGAAATTATGTATGACGGTGGTGCAGAGCAAATAGAGATGTCTTGAGGGTGCAGACACTGGAAGATCCTGCACTATTACGCGGTGTCCATAGTCACAAGGTACATTTGTGTACAGCCAACATCTTCAAGACAGACCTGAAAAGAGACAGAGTCCTGAACAACTTGTCTTTTTATCATGTAACTAACAATGTAGTGCCAGACATTGTGTATGACATCCTCAATGGGGTTGGGCAATGTGATGTTAAGCTTGCGTTGAACTCACTGATTGAGCAAAAGCATGTCACAAGCTCAACTACAGAATCACAAGCTTTGATAATGGGTTTTGTGATAAGGGTAACAAACCCTCTGTGATTAGTAAGAATGATCTAAGGAACATTGATGGGTCCATGCGACAGTCAACAGCTCAAATGTGATGTCTACTTAGATTACCATCGACAAAGTGACCTGATCCACATGGAAAACAAGGAATGGAAACTTCTGCTGCTCTTGATCTTGTGTATGGAGTTAATCTTCTCTCCTTCTCTAACTGGTGCAGCAACATTGTATTGAGTAAAATCATTGTAGAGCATCACCCTCTCTTCCTGGACCACTTCATTCTCCATTACCCAAGAGTGATTAAAAAAATTGGACCCTTGCTGCAGTTGTGGACAATGCAATTTGAGGCTAAACATGGATTCTTCAAACATATTAGTCACGTCACATCAGCTTCAGAAACAGCCTGATGTCCCACAAACCTAAAAGTCTCATCTAAATTTCCCACAGAAGAACAAACAGCACCAGTGATATCATGTGTACTGCAGGTACTAATATTTGTAAATTCCACAGTTTTAAACTGAGGGATTCACTTTGTTTTTCACCACTAAACAGCAACAACCTTATCAGCTATGTTGAGAGCCTTGATGAGGATGGTATCACAATTAAGCAGAGACATTGCTTAGTCTGAATTCTGGTGTCACACTGTTGTCACACTTGGAGTATGGAGAGAGGTACACAAGAGTTTGTGGTGGAATGCATACTGCACTTTAATTTCAAGTTACAATGCATCCAGAAAGAATCACAAATTACACCACACATTCGATGGTGTAATTGAGTTTTTCTGTTTACAGACCTACCTCTGAGACCAAAAAGGCCTTGGCTACATTATTGGTTCAGGATTGTTCCTGCCTGAAAGACATATCAGGCAGTGGTTGCGTGAGTAGTTTTTTTTGAACTTCATAGGAATTGATACTAACTAGAAAAATCTACATTTTGTCAATGTCAATGTGTTTGATCAATGTAATTCATAGAGTCTTGGTTGTGTAAAGTGGAAATTAGGAAAGACAAAAAGAATCAGAATCTGCCCCATCTAAATTAGCAGAAGATTTTAATTTCTTGCCAGGAAATATGATATAGCCAAGGCTGTAACCACCATCCAGCCACTGGATTCCTCAGGAACATCAGAACGAGGCTGAGATCTGTAAGCAGACCACAATCTGTACCCAAACTTTTTGAGACATGGCTGCCGGTGTATGCAGAGAAAATCCTGGTCCTGGCGAAACAGAAGGGAATCTCCGATTTCCTGCCAAAGAGATGACGCTGGGTAATTTGTTTTTGTTGTTGTTGTACAGCACACTTTGGAATATCAGTATTAGCATGGGCTTCATTATATTTCTTATGTAATCTAAAACATGCCAATCCACATTATTCACTACTTGTACCTTTAATTGGGGCCACAGCAGCAAAGTGCTGCGAGGACCCCATTGAAACTGCTGGGATTATTATTCTTAACCACAGTAAATCAAATTTTTGGAGGCCACAACATGCTCCAAAATTTATGAAACACACATGCTAGTCGTGGCGAAACATTACATATGCTATGGGTACCGCACATACCTCTGGAAGAATGGCTTCACAGCGCCCCCTATAGAGCAGCTCCAATGGCACGTTTCACTGAAAGCGTACAACCCATATCCCAAACCCAGCAGGAAGTCGGCCATTTTAGATGTAGTGGCCATGTTGGGCAATTTGCAAGCATTGTATTTTAATAAACTCCTCCAAGGAAACAGATTGATTTCTCATTTGGTCGGTATAATCTTGAAACCATTAGGATCAAAATTACACCATTTTGGAGTTTTCATCGAAGGGCGTGTCCCTGGTGTGGCGGTGAGTTTCCATCTTTCCTCAGAGTTGCTTCAGTGTCCTTTAACCAATCTACACCAAAATGCACGTTTGATAATACTCTGAACACATCTACATACAAATATTCAGTCATACTCATAGCGCCCTGTACTGGCAAAAGCACAAAAGCCTTACATAACAATAATCATGGGAAGGGTGATCTGTGAAATTTACACAATGTATTGTATGTTTGATATGCTGGAACATTCCAACGTGTGTGGGTGCGAGAGCCCAATCATCGCTGCTTGCAACTTAAATTATAATCTGTCTCTCTTGAGTCCTCCAACTTTACAGCACTGGAATACGAAGTTGCACCAGTACCCCTTTGAGAGTCTCCCTTGACAATGATCTTCACTATGATAGGTGAGTGAGCCCAGAATAATAATCAAACATACTGCTCAGTGGCACACAGAACAAGGACTCAGTACAGATGCACTAACCATGATTGAAAGGCATGGTATAAAATATAGAGAGTATTAATATTAACTGAATACAGAAAATTTGACTTTTTATTTTATTTAATGGAACCTGAATTATTTGCCAACAAGTCTGATGATGTTTTTGAGGACAAACATTTCTGTAATCAATCAGCGCGTATGAGCGCACTCACCACCAGCACGTATTTGTTATGTATTTTTATTGGCTCTTTATCAGTTCTTATAATGTGTGGAAACCTTCTTTTAATAACCTCTATCGTTTACTTCAAACAGCTCCACACTCCTACAAACTACCTCATCCTCTCTCTTGCAGTAGCTGACCTGCTTGTTGGAGTCTTAGTTTTGCCTTTTAGCGCGGTACTGGCTGTGAGCTCTTGTGGGTATGTTGAAGATTTACTCTGCAAGATACGAGGCAGCTTTGATGTTTTTCTGTCCACATCTTCTATTTTAAACTTGTGCTTTATTTCTGTTGACAGATATTATGCAGTGTGTCAGCCTCTGAGGTACAGAACTAAAATAAATGTCCGTGTTATTGTGATCATGATCCTTGTGAGCTGGACTGCTCCAGCTCTAAATGGAATTAGCATGACATTTTTGGGAGTGAACAAAGGACAATCTAACAGGTGTGTTTTATTTCAGAATTTAAGTTCAGCAATTATGGCAATTGTTTTTGGGTTTTATTTCCCAGCTATTGTAATGGTCACTATCTACTTAAAGATTCTGATGGTGGCACAGAGACAGGCACACAGCATCCACAACACAACCTGTCAGAGCACAAAGTCTGAAATTAAGAAGGAGAGAAAGGCCACCAAAACTCTGGCTATTGTAATGGGAGTTTTTCTTATGTGTTGGACTCCTTACTTTCTTTGTATGACCTTTAACCCTTTGAGTAATTACACAATACCTGTTGCTGTGATTGCAGCATTTAAGTGGCTTGGATGGTCAAATTCAATGCTCAATCCATTGGTCTATGCTTTCTTTTACAGCTGGTTTCGATCAGCTTTCAGAATAATAATTTCTGGGAAAATATTTCAGGGGGATTTTACGCATTCTAAGCTCTTTTGACTCATTATTTGAAGCATGGAAATATCAGTAACATCCTCCTTAGTTTGGTACATACCATCTCTTTTGCACTGCATGTCATATATATAGGCCTTCTTAGAAAAAGGTCACTGTACTATCCATAAAGTATGTATATAACTTGTAAAAAATCTAAAGTGTATATATTTAGTTATTGATGCTGCATCTGTTGAGTTCATGAGTATGTCATTGAATTTTTGTCTTTGTGAACAAAGCTTTAAACAGTAAGGAATTAATGAATGGTGAAATCATCTTTCTCTTAGATTAGTTTTCAGTTTCATTCAATCAGTCTAAATATTAAATAAACTGGGTAAGCAGGGTAGCTGTAAAGTACTGAATAAGACTTTTTCATTTACAGATTCTAAGATTCAAATCAATTTACGTAGCAAATTTAAGTTGTACATTTTCCACAACACTATGAAGCTAACAGTTTCACCAAACAATAGCTAATTTAAAAAGTGTCTGAGCATTGTCTCTGTGTATCCTGTTAATGTATTCATGCAATAATAATAATAATAATAATAATTATTATTATTATTATTATTAACTATTTACTGTGTCCACAGTATGAACTGTATAATTTAAAATGGACATAGTCTCTGTGACATCACCCATAGGTTCCTGAAGCTCAATGTGGTCGGCTGTGGCCATCTTGGCAGTCTTTTCTCTGCCTAATCCAAAATTGTGTGTGTGGGAGTGTTTTTATTTTTTTCAGTTTTCTAGCCATGTTGCCTACTTGCAAGAAACATGAACTTGGAAATGTTGAGTTTTATGTTAGAAATATAAAATATGGGTCCTCAACATATAGAAACTGCCGGATGCTAACTTGCAAATGTTGGGCAATTAGCATCATTAGCATTAGCACATAAACACCTATATAGACACAATTTTACATATGGTTTATCATTTAATTAAGTTGATCAAATAATTAACACATCAACAGTTAATGTAACTACCAACAGGTACTCTATGTAGTGACCCTTCTCGCCAGCTTAAATCCTTAGAACAGTCTTTAAAATGGGCCATAAAAATGCACCCAGTGTCAATGGCAAGAGGTTGGTCAAGGCCTTCTACTACTCCAATGGCCAAAGATTGAGCCTACCATACAAGGACAACCACCAACCCCTTGGCCACAGCCTCAGCGAAGGATGACAGACACAGTAGGGAGATGAGGGGCCTAAGTGGCAGCAGACTTTCAATTTTGGGGCGATTCTTGCAGCACAAAGGAAACTATCTAAAACTAGGTTAAAACTGACATACACTGATAGAGCTGCACCCACCATACAGATGCAGCTGCCATCCTGTTGGCAACAGCTTTTTTGGAGAACGATGGATACAATAAGGAGAAGAGATGCCCAACCGACACTAAGCATGCACTTTGTTTGAACCCTTTTTTCTGAAAAGTCTCTTGAACACTTACCAAATGTGTACAACATGGATTTCCTACTTAGGAGCCTTGAGAACCTTTTGCAGTCATCTCTTTTTCCAGAATACTGCAATTTCTCTTGCCATTTCCCTCTTGCACTAATTTGATTGCATTATTAAATAAAAAAAATTGGCATTTTTCTTATACAACATAGAACAAAACAGCTCAAACATGACATAAATAAAATTAGTGTGTAAGAATAATAAACATAAGTAAGATTAATGGATATTAAATCCATACCCAACACTCAAAGTTGATCTGATCAATGCCAAAGGAGGAATTTGTTAAAATATCATGCATTGAAATGGCGCCAAAATTGGACATTAAATTCAAAATGGTCAAATTCCTGTTGGGTTTAGGATATGGCTCCCAGAGGCTTTGCACTGCATGTTCAGTCTTCTTATAATTTTAATATATTATTTCAGAGTTGTTTGGGTTTTTTTGCTGTGCTTTTTACATATGGTTTGTTGTCTCAATGCAAGAAAGTTGATCAAAAAATATCAAAAAATATGAAGTAAATCAAGTAAAAAACAGACAAACTCAATCCAATGTAATTAACAAATCGACAATAAATGTACATTGTAATGACCCCTCACGCCAGCTTAAATCCTGAGGGCAGTCTGTAAGATGGGCCAAACAAGTGTACACAAGTGGTGTCGAGTATGGGTGGGTGTCAAATCCAATCAGACATCATTCAATGAAGTCGGATCTATAAAGCAGATAAAGTAACAGATTGAAACAAAACATGTAGCAGGTTTAAAGGAGCAACCTGTCAGTGCCACAGGGAGTTGTATGATTACTCACATTGATCTACATAAAATTCCACTCCCTTGAACAGAATATGCAAATGAGCCCACAATAATGAATCTACTCAGTGTGTGGTCAGTGGCACAGAGAGCAAGGATTCTCATCCGTACAGATGCACAAACCAGGATTGATGTGCATCATGTGAAACATACAGAGCACTAAACTTTATTGAAAATCTCCGGAAACTTGAAATCTTTTTTTTATCATTTATGCATGGAACATGAATTATTTTCCAACAGGTCTGATGAAGTTTTTGAGGACAAACATTTCTGTAATCAATCAGAAAATGTATCTGGTATGAGCGCACTCACCACCAGCACATATTTATTATGTAGTTTAGTTGGCTCTTTATCAGTTCTTATAATGTGTGGAAACCTTCTTTTAATAACCTCCATCATTTACTTCAAACAGCTCCACACTCCTACAAACTACCTCATCCTGTCTCTCGCAGTAGCTGACCTGCTTGTTGGGGTTGTTGTTTTGCCTTTTACCACAGTACTGGCTGTGAGCTCTTGTTGGTATCTTGAAGATTTACTCTGTAAGGTTCGAAACAGCTTTGATGCCTTTCTGTGTACATCTTCAATTTTGAATTTGTGTTCTATTTCTGTTGACAGATATTATGCAGTGTGTCAGCCTCTGAGGTACAAAGCTAAAATAAATGTCTGTGTTATTCTGATCATGATCCTGGTGAGCTGGACAGCTCCAGCTCTAAATGGAATTAGCATGACATTTTTGGGAGTGAACAAAGGACAATCTAACAGGTGTGTTTTATTTCAAAATGTAAGTTTAGCAATTATGCCAATTGTTTTTGGGTTTTATTTCCCAGCTATTGTAATGGTCACTATCTACTTAAAGATTCTGATGGTGGCACAGAGACAGGCATGCAGCATCCACAACACAACCTGTCAGAGCACAAAGTCTGAAATTAAGAAGGAGAGAAAGGCCACCAAAACTCTGGCTATTGTAATGGGAGTTTTTCTCATCTGTTGGACTCCTCTCTTTCTTTGTATGACTTTTAACCCTTTGAGTAATTACACAATACCTGTTGCTGTGATTGCAGCATTTAAGTGGCTTGGATGGTCAAATTCAATGCTCAATCCATTGATCTATGCTTTCTTTTACAGCTGGTTTCGATCAGCTTTCAGAATAATAATTTCTGGGAAAATATTTCAGGGGGATTTTACGCATTCTAAGCTCTTTTGACTCATTATTTGTTTTATTTGTAATATCATTATTCATTTGGCACGGAAGATCTCTTTTCCACTGCATGTCATATATATATAACGTGTCTGTATGTTAAAACAGTATGTTAGTAAGATGACTATATCTCATAGTTCGCCTCATTCACTTTATATATTCAGTTATAGATGCTGCATCTGTATGTTGAATTCAGGAATACATCTATGAATTTTTGAGACACCAAAATACAGGATTAAAACAATGAAAAAATATATATTGGCGTGTGTAGTTTTCTAGCCATAAGACTGGTGATGTTATCAGAATCAGAATTTTGAACAATCTTTGGCAGTGGCAAAAATGTTTGTGTCATAAGGGTTTAAACTGTATCATGTGCAAATGTAGAAAAAAGCCTCTTGGACCCATACCCCGAACCCAACAGGAAGTAGGACATTATGAATTTAGTGTTCATTTTTGGACGTTTGCACGTGTTGTACTTTAACAAACACCTCCTAGGGATTTGATCAGATGGACTTTAAAGTTGTTCAGTATAATCTAAATTAAAAAAAAAGGTTTTCGTCAAAGGGCATGTCAGAGGTTTAGGATTGAATTATGATCTTTCGCGAAGAAACAGTAATTGTAACTTGTCCAATCAGCACCAAAATGCACATGTCTAGCACAGTGTCATGTTCTATAGTTTAATGTCCTACTACTTACAGGTTGACCAGGTCCAGTTGAAATTTGGTCAGAACACCTTTACCATGTTGATGATGATACGATTGAATCTTGTGAGCTTTTGTGAAAATCTGTTGCTTGGGCAACACAGCAAATTTAATTTTAACAGCTGATGGCTTTTTTTGAGAGACTAAAAATGAAAAGCTCAAGATATTCGGCACACATGTTACAAACCACAAAGATTTACACCTCATATGGGTCTTGCGCGTGGGTGTGGCAAAATGGCTCGATAGTGCCCCCTTCAAAATTTCAGAAAGGCAGCCCAGATGGCCTGTTTTGACATGTCTGAAAATCAGTAGGCGCATGTATCATGTCCAGACGTACAAAACACACACTTGGATCCAAACCTTCATAGATATAGAAACATAGATATCTCATTGGTCACTGCTGAATGCCTCCGCTATACGTTTGCACGGCCGCCATATTGCAGGGGTCCACATCCACTAGTTTTCATAATGATAGATGCAGACTTCATACTACTGACTGTTACTCACTTGCTTCCACAATTTCAGTAAGCAACATCTGTTACCTATGACGTACTGCACAGTTTTATGACCTGTCAAAACTGGTACGAATGTCCACAAAACCTTTTAAGAACAATTTCAAAACATTGCAGTATTCATTTAGATATTTAAATTGTTAATTATTTCCCATTTTAACAGTATTATTACTGTTGCTGACCATTTAATATTAATTTTAAATATGTGCATTCTAATTTATGTACAGATCAATGTTATTTGTTATGATTACTTTGGTTATGTAGCCTGTTTACTTGCATTATTGTTATTTGGACAACACTTTGAGATTGATCAAGCAAGTTGTTATTTATCACACACAACGTGATGGCACATTATACTGCATCTCAGCATGTAACTCTCATGTATTCTATATTATGTGTAGATCCCCATACAGACACTACAGAATAAAAGCTATGAGAATAAACTGTGTGAATTAAACTTTGTTTTTTAATACTATCAATTAGGTTTTCAATCATGACAAACATACGCACTCAATGGCACTCCACATGTACATGTTCCATATAGAGGAGGGGTATTCTTAGATCACACGGTCCGTGTATCTTTTGGTCATTGGATTTTCCTTTCAGAAACGGGTATTAAAAAACAGAAAACGAGTGGTTATTTGATTTTCGTTTTAAAATACAAAAATTTTAATTGAAATACAAGGCGTTTTTCTTTTTCATGGTCAAAAAAAAATTATTTCATTTTCATTTTCTATTTCATATAACAAAAAATAAAATCACTAGAAAACAGAAATGGAAAAAAGGCCTGTTTTTCGAGCAAGGTACGTTTTATCAGTCTGTTTTCTGGGAATAATTGACACAAGCAGAAACCAAAAAACAAGCCGTTTTTTCGTTTTGTCAAAAAAACGAAAAACCAAAGTTCATTACAGAATGCAAGTGTGTGTTATATTGAAAGCGAGGCTGGGTGTGCCTATGAATATAGGCTACAGTGAGTTTTTTAAGGTGCTGTACAAGGAAATCATATTGTCTACTCTGTACAGTGACAAAGAGTGTACAGTAACCTACTTCATTCAATATTGAATAGGCTACTGTAGCCTACACTATAAACAAATGGTTTTGCTCTTTGCTCATGGCAGTTGTGACAGTCATTTTAACATGTCAGCAGGCAAGCTTCACTCATTCCAGGATGTATTATGCTTTGTCCTATAGCCTACTTGGAACATGTTTTGAAATGGATCTATAGTAGCCTATAGAAATTTGCTCATAACAGGCCGGCTGGAATACAAAGCAAACTCTCTATCAAATGCACATTTATGGAAGTCTTGTATTGTCATCCCAGGACAAAACACAAGGACTGTCACAACTGCCATGAGCAAAGAGCAAAACCATTTGTTTATAGTGTAGGCTACAGTAGCCTATTCAATATTGAATGAAGTAGGTTACTGTACACTCTTTGTCACTGTACAGAGTAGACAATATGATTTGCTTGTACAGCACCTTAAAAAACTCACTGTAGCCTATATTCATAGGCACACCCAGCCTCGCTTTCAGTATAACACACACTCGCATTCTGTAATCACCGTCAGTAAATAATAATTTGAAAACAATATAAAATATCTTTCAACAAGAAAAAATAATTTGTTTACTGTAAATGGATAAAGGTCAACAGATGCGCAATGTTCAGCTGTCATGTAATAACTGCGCCACCTTGTGGCTAAACATCAACTGCACTGAAGTCGATTAAGAATGATTAAGAATACTATTATTGTTATTTGAAGCCGTGTCAGTCTTGACTGTGGGTGATTGGGTCCTCTGTGTCTGCTAGTGTCTATAATACAGTAATATTTTTGTCGACATCAAACGGAAGAACTTTTATTTTGAAGAGCACAGGGCAACGAAGCACACTAGCCAATCAGAGGACCCGCCCACCGACGGAAACAAGATATTGAGCGGCAAATTCGTTTTGTTAAGTAAGAACCAAAAAACTAGTAAACGAGCTGAACTTTTGATTTTTCTTTTTTTTGACAAAACGAAAAAATGAAAAAACTGCTTGTTTTTTGGTTTCTGCTTGTGTCAATTATTCCCAGAAAACAGACTGATAAAACGTACCTTGCTCTTTTTTTATATTCTGAGACCGGATGTTGTCATTTACAGGACGGTGCTGTGTAGAAGAAACAGTAGGCTAGTAGACTGCGGTCAAGCCAGCCGTGAGTTCGATCTCCGTGGTCAAATCAGCCGCACTTAAATTTCGAGTGTACAAGTATTCTCAACATTATGATGAATGCGGAGAAACAGCGTATTCACGTCCGGTTTTCAAAATAAAGGTATTTAGAACAGTAAGCTATAATTAAAATATGTTACATTAAAGTGTTTCATGCGACTCTGATGAATAAAAAACACTTCATATCAAGTATCTTTACTGCACCAGTGTGGAGAAATGCCAAAATAAAAGTCTCATATTTATGCCTCCAGAGATTGCGCATTTGACCATATTTGAGGTACTGTAAAAACATATTGCTCAGTGTTTCCTGGCTACTGATGGTAT